CCCTCGCCGCCCTCGCCGCCCTCGCCGCCCTCGCCGCCCTCGCCGCCCTCGCCGCCCTCGCCGCTGTCGCCGCTGCCATCGCCACCCTTGCCGCCACCCAAGCCGCCGACCGCGCTCCTGCTCGCTCTCTGTCTGTGGATCTGACCCCGCCACTTTCGCCCTTCTGCAGCTGGCTTCTCGCGCCTGACCCCGCCCAGCATTTCATTCTTCGAGTCTGCCGTGGCAGAGCAACTCTGTACGTTTCCTTTGTCTGAAAAGGGAAATCTCATGCTGTGGAAAGTTTCCAGATCCATCCTCGTTAATGTTCTCCTTTGCCTAACTAAAATTAAAGTATTTATTCAATGTCTTTGCTGGGAATGCTACGCCTTCTTGGATATACTTGGTATTGTAAATTTTCTGTTATGAGGTCTATTTTCTAGCCAAATACTTTGACTTGGTTACAACACAATGTTGTTAGTAAGTCATGAAGATTAGCTAATATTCTCTATTGGGGAAGTGATAAGACTGATTTAACTGATTTGATACTAGCAAACCACGGTAGTCTTATCCCTCTCTCACTCTTTTTCCTTATCTCTTTTTACATCTCTTTTCCCTCTATTTCTTTTTCCTTTTCTTTCCTTTCCCCTCTCCCTCTCTCTTTTCTTTTCACTCTCCCTCTCTCTTTCCTTTTCCCTCTTTCTTTTTCCCCTCTCTTCCTTTATTTTCCTCTCCTTTTGTTTTCTCTCTCCATCCCGTGCCCCCATTCCTCCTGTAATTCTCGACGTCGTCACGCATAAACACGGCAACGCCCAGCAACAATGAAGCCCAGGTGGATTGGGAATTGCATTTAACTGAACCACCATCTCGTGCTGCAACGCCTACATATTTGCAGCCCAATAGAACATTAGTACACGTGTCACTATTTTCTTACATGATGTTGAACTGGGAGAGATGACTAAGGGCATCAACGGATGTCGCTGTAGCCGCTCTGACCAGGAGGTCCTAGGTTCAGTCCCGACTGTGGCAGGATTTTCGACAGTAGCTTGTCAGCTAGATCGAATTCAGTCGCTGTCTGGAGAAGAATTCGAGCTGCCTGCTGCTCTGATCGGTTGTTTTCCGTGGTTTCTCCGATTAACACCAGGCAAATGCCGGAGCAGTATCTTAACAAACGGGTCACGGATTGCCCGCGATCTTTCCTTCCCCTTCCTTGTCCTTTCTTCACCACTTACTTACACACACACACACACATTAACCCGGGAGACCGCTCTGAAACTGAGAGCTTGTCCCGACTGGGGCGGTGCTCCTCTTGTGGGAGATACGTGGATGGGAAAAACCCCGCTAGCCGACAGTAGGTCGGCGCCGGATCTCGCCAAATATTACCGCCACCACCACCACCACCACCGAGCAAAAATACGCACTACACTTAAGGGACTAATGAACCAGATAGTTGACGTGCCCGGAATCACTAAAACAATCAATGGATCAATCAAATATTGTTCATTCTTTGAACTCTCCGTAGTAATCACTTTTATATCTACTGCTTTCATTCTTATCTCTCAGTATTTCTTGTCGCACACAGTCTTATAGTTTCAGTTTATTCCTTTACTCCTTTTTGACTGCTTTTTTGTGAATACTGTTATTTAATCAACCGCTCACGACCTATTTTTCCTCTGTCCCGCTGGAGAGATACCTGGAAGAAGAAATCCCTCGCAAGCCGATTTGTAGGTCGGCACCGGATATCACCAATCTACGAGGGAGAAACGCCGCCCTCTTCTAAGAATGAACCTTCACTACACTAACGACACTAATTCCACGACATGCCTGGAAGCAATAAATTCTTCTTCTCTGTGCATCTGCATATCCATGTATGCCCCTTCGTCTATATTCATGCATAGCACCTGATTTCCGAAAGTAACTTTCATTTACGGAAACTGTTTTCTCTTTTGAGGTGAGGATTGTGGTGGAAATTGTAAGCACAAAGCTCCATTGTCATTTGTAGTGCCTGCGACTTTCCATTCGCACTCTTTTACTGCAGCCCATCAGCAAAATACGCGAACTGTCTAAAATGTATTTTGCTGCTGTAACTCCAAATGTTTCTAAATATACTATTTATTTACTGTCCGGACAATCAAACAGATTTTGCCGAGTTTTGAAAAAACATTAACTGAGTTAGGACATAGCTGGTGGTTAGTTCGTTTTTGGCGTGCTCTAATTGAGTTTGGCTTAATTAATTTTTAATGTATCGCACTTACTTCGTAAGAATAGGAAGTTATGTAATATTGCGCCGGAAAACACGAATTTTCAGCAGAAAGTACTCTTAATTGCGGGCGCTGGTAACGAAAAAGTAGATTAATGTCATATTTAGTAAATTACTTCCTCTAACACGTGGTGAAGACAGAAGCCATGTTTTATGGTCCTTCATTCCGACTAGTCGATTGTCGGCAAAACTGGTCAGTAGAGATTAATTCTAATAAAAATAAAAGCGTTGAGAAGAGATTGTTAAAAATACAGAATTCCCACTTCTGCCTCGAAGATCACTCATACCAAATTTCTCTGAACTTCAAATATAAGTGTTACTAAAAACTAAATTATTAAATAGTAAAAGAATTTGTAACTATTATATCTGTAATAAAATATATAAGAAATGTTTTAATGCCAGAAAATGAAATATGAAAATGTTAATTGGATCGCAAATGGGCTGGAAAGAGAAGAGAATCTACTCCTTACATACCGGAAAATGCACATTATCGAAACTCTCTTCCAAAGGAACATGAAGTTCAACATCTTGGGTTACGAAACGTACAGCAAAGCCAGAGCAGTAGGAAAAGCATCCGAGGATCTAGAAATAATTGTCAAAAAGAAAATTCAACATCGCGAACCAAGGCACTATTTAGAAAATCTAGTCGGTATGCCACTACCAATAAACTCAAGTCCGGAGGATACGATGTTGATTTCTGCCTGAAAACATGCGAACACAATATTTCCAGACTAAACACGAAATATTATTTTGAGTAATAATATTTCAACTCTAATTACGGAAGAATTAAACTGCAAAAATATTGCTTTGGGTTGTAATACAACCAACAAATCGGAAGAAAAATCATAACTTTTTTACGAAATAATAAGGCGGAGATACATGCGGTGTCAGAATCCACTCTCTATCATTATTATATTATTCCCTATATTCTATAACACGCCAAAACAATATCTAAAAAGGCTCAAATCCCATTATGTCAGTATGTGACTGCCGATCTTGATTCAGACCATTACCAGGTAATAATCACTTTGAGAACTGAAATGATGAAGTCCAATCCACCATCAAAATGAAATGGAAAAGAAAGTGGGAAAATGTAGAGTATCATTAAATACTTTATATCAATATCGTCTAAAAATAAATAGAAAAATTAAAGAAAAACTGCATGAACACACATAAGCAATATATTACTCACCAATATCCTTGGTCAATAATTACAAAGCTGATAATAGAAAAAAGTATCCAAAAATATCCATAGTAGTAAATTTAATTCCAGAAAACTTAATGCTTCGGAGGAATTTACAAAATAACCTTGATCCATACAACAAAAGCAAATAAATCAAACTCAAAGAAAACTGAAGGGAATTTCGATTATCATAGATTTAAGAGAATTCAAAATTTCTTTTCACCGATACCAAAAGCATCTAGACATTTGTGAATCACTATCTTTTTTTAAGAAAGATAATTTATTTATATTCTTTAGTTTTGAATATTCTAACCCCCATAACTGATAAACAAAAAGCGACAGAATTGACCAATATATTTTAAAAACCTGTACCCTAAATAAATCAAAGATAATAAAAGTAAATATTTATATAAAACAATTCTTAGTACTCCCGTTCTCAACAGTTCCTCAAAAAATATAATTCATATCTCGAGCGAAAACAAGTCGAATAATCTAAAACCTAAAACTAAAGAAATCGGCAAGCAATGATCAAATTACCACTCACATTTTAAAAGAGTCTCTACGGTGAAAAATGCAGGAACTAGAGCGCTTGATAATGCAGCCTTGAGACTAAATTATTTCCCGGGTGTAAGGAAACGAGGCACACTATTTCCGATAAGTAACAAGTAATGTTCACAGTCTGCAATCAAACTATGGACCAATAATTTTATTATCTATCATAGGAAAAGTGTTCGCAAACATAATACAAAAAAGGTTAGAAACATTTCTAATTATAAATAATAATAATAGTAATAATGGTAATAATAATAATAATAATAATAATAATAATAATAATAATAATGTCGGCCCCGTGGCGCAGACGGTTGTGGCAGCCGTCGTCTATGCCGAGGAGGCTGCAGGTTCGAGTCCTGCGTAGACATGGTCGTATTTGTGATTGTCCCTTCACCTATCATCATCCTTTCATCTCATAATTCACACTTCAAGGCGTAACAACCTTGTTGTAATCCAAGGATACAGCTGAAAAGCTGGTCCTGGAAAAATTACACACGTTAATCGTGTAGCGTGGTCAGTACTGGCCTATAATAATAATAACAATAATAATAACAATAATAAAAATAACAATAAAAATAACAATAATAATAATAATAATAATAAAATGAAATATGAAATAATATACAAATTTTAAATTACGTAACATGCACCTGCGTAAATTGGGAGCGGCCAACTGAAGGTAAGCAATCTTTATTTCATATTTATTTCAAATAGATTATAAATAAATTGTTAAATTGTTAGCGTATAACAAAAGCTCCAATGTAAGAAACGATCAAAGAAATATAAAATATGAAATAATATATGCATTCTAACTAACGTAGCATCCTAATGCCTCAAAACACCTAAAAAATTAATGCTCAAGAAACGCAGGATTTTTCAGATCAGGCGACAAACTTTGCGCCCAATTACCCAAAAAATACTATTTTCTTCCAAAAATTGAACATGACCGTCTTTA